TGTTCATTGTGGTAAACGAAATAATAATTTAATCTAAATAAGATTTTTTTTCTTCCCAATTTGTAAAAAATCCTTACGTGATAGAAAAAAATGAATATTATTTTTGAAATCTGTGTAGCTGAATTATGGAAAATCTGATAATTAAACCAAAATAATTCTTATGAAGTTTAAATTTGCAAGCCTGTGTAATCACATAATTTCTCTGTAGAACTTACAGGCTAGGAGGGCCATGTTGCATGTTAAAGAAGTGTCATGATATTTTTTCCAGGGCAGTGTATATGGGGTAGGTCATAGCAAACCTACAAAACTTAAAACTGCAAGTGATTATGCTCTTTTTGCATGATCACTGAGTCAGTTTAACATTACAAATATTCAACTATCCATGTGCTTCCATTTTGACATATTTGATCATTCAAATGTCCAAGTTAAAAGAGTTTCATGAAGTTAAACAGAATTAATACCCTTAATGTATTTATTAGGAAGTTTGCTATGGTCCACTTTTGTTTGATATACAAGACTGTTTAGTGTAAGTGTTATTATTTAGTTTATTTTGTGACTTAATATCTGATGATTATTTAGTTTTAATGACAGCAGTGTGGAAGACCAATTGTTTTAAAGGTGATAGTTGTGACAATTTTTGTTACGTAACTTTGTACAAGTTGTACGTTGTGTTTGCAATTACATTGTTGTCAAGGCTTTACTAATATTGTATCGTCAGCTCACTTACGTAAATATTTAAAACCCTGACAACTTTGTATGATAGAAACAAATTCACAATTATAACTTCTATTTTAGTGATTCACTTATCCAATTAGCACCAACATACAATAAATAAGAAAGGTATATTAAATTAGCTATAATAATTACTGAATTAATTTTTAGTTCTGTTCTATTTGGGTAACTAATTGTGATCTGAAGTTTGTGATAAATACACAACTGTTGCAAAAAAAATACAGAAACAGCATGTGAAAATACAACAGAAAATAAGAATAGTACAAGAACCTACCAAGTAACAGTTGATAATTCTGATTCTTTGGATTTCTCTTAATATATTAAGTTACCAACTACGTAAAAAACTTTTGTACAGCAAAGTTATGAATGATATTTTTAGATGTAGCACACCAATAGTAAATTTCTGCTAACTTTATATGTAAAAATATAATCATCATTCATCATACTCACTCCATGTATAGAAAAACAATGTGTTTTTCAACAAGTGCAAAAAATATTTAAAAACAAAATTGAAAGTGTAGGAATGGATGTACCATAAAGTGAGAAAACAAGGTAGGAATGGGCATGATGTAATGAAACTTCCTCTGTACAATCTAACATGTACAATGGGACATGTCCAACAGCTGGTCCATGCCTACTTTGTTTAATCTTTCTATTATATGTACAGTAAGTCAGGTGGACTAAACTTATCAAAGTTAGTTATGCTTATCATACAATGACTAGAAATTTCTGTGAACTGAATTACTGTAAAGTTTATCTATATGACACCAGAAGAATTAAATATTTGTGTGGACCCATAACTTGTATGGGCTTTTTCTTTACAACTTGTCCACTCTTTTGCAATTGCATGAGAAGGCAACAGGATTTTGTACATTAGCTATATAGGTGGATTAAAATACAAAGATAAAAAAATCTTAAGAAGTTTCTGTGTATCAACATCATAGATTTGTTTCTGTCTATAGAAAAGTAGAAGAATCATAGACATACTTTTGTATGCACCCATAAGTTGCATGATATCATGAACACATAAAAACAAAGCAGGCATGGACAGGATGCCCCCTTGTGAGGTTGTACAGAGAAAGTTTTATTACACCATGCCCATTCCTACCTTGTTTACACTTTTTGGTGTGCTCATTGCTACATTTTCAATTTTTTTAGATATTTTTTTCACTTGTTCATGCACTTTTTTCACACAAAGTGACATGATTTTACATATTATTCATTCATTTACATGTATATCCTGTATGTATATCATCAGTGTGGGTATGTACCATAACATAATGGTATATGCAAAAAATGGTATATGTGTGTGTGTGGTGTGCATTTTCTTCACTTATGGTGTGTGTACACATTGTGAATGTGCTATACACGTGTTGGTACACTCTTTATAGTGTTCAGTGTTATTTGGGTGATGTAATGTGAGTTGTGGTTGTGTGCATATACTAAGGGGTGATAAATTAGTTAATTAATTTAATTAACTACTTAATTTTGTTCAGGCAATAACTAGAATTTCATGCAGGTAAAACTGGTAATGCATCTTGTCATTTATGAAAGAAACAGGTTTAAGCTGGACTTTGTCCTTGTATGTAAGTACACTGATAATTATTACAACACTGCATAGTTACATGTAATTATGAGTCTGCTTTTACTCCAGCATTAGTTAACTCAGGAATACCTTGACAGGAATATCTTTTATCCCTTCTTCGTACAGCAGCAGGACTCATCAGTTGGTTCCCACACCTATTCAGTATATGGAATGAGCGAATGGGATGTATGTATTTTAAAATGGTGTCCCTGTTCAAGGTTATTACCTGATATTTGTGGTTTTGTGAATTTTTTTGTGTTTGCTCTGCTAACTTTCTCAAGTGGTTCTATGACTTGTAATTGTGTATATGGTTTGTTTATCACTTAAGGTTGTCTGTCATATACTTTTAAAGATTTATTATTTGGTTGTTAAAAGTGTATATGAGTAAACAGTTTGTATTGCATGTATTCCTACTACCATACTTATGATACCAAGCAGCACTAAATTCAGCAATACTGAACTGATACAAAACTAACAGAATAATAAGACTATATAGGTTCTCCACATACTGATATTCTCATATATTCTTAGCATCATACCACTTCTTTATAGTTTATTTATCTAATAATATTTGTGTGCCCTTGATATACTCATAAGTTCATACTCTTGTGTTCCAAAAGAATCATACCTATACAATTATTAATTTTATAAAATTTTTCACTCTACATGATGCTTATTTGGGTCTGCATGATCATTTTTTCAGTCATCAAAAATTGCATGTTAAAAAAATCAGAGTAAACTTTCAGAATTTACTATTAGACTAATGTTATAAATTTTAACAACATACAAGTCTATGCTTAGTACATTAATTTTATGATCAACTAAGCCAACACATCCCAACTGCATGTTGTCACTTCACTTGTAGTTCACAATGTGTCAATGAAACTCTAGGACTAGCTTACCTACATGCAAGTGCTGTGCTCAGTTGGCAACGATTGCGGTTGCCTCGCTGTCTTAATGGAAATCTATGACTCGTTAGGCTCTCTACACACAAAGCATATTCATTACATCAAGGTTTACGGAGTCACAGATCAGCCAATCAGGGTGAGTACATGTAATTCAATTATGACCACCCCTCTATGCTCAATGAATATATAGCTCTTTTGCATTAGGCTGAGAACTACCAATTATCAGCCAGCTAATCAGCTTGCCTCAATGCTTTGCAAGTTAATTGAACTTGGGTCACATATTATTACTTTTTCTTACATTTTTGCCAATAGATTTAGGTCTATAAAACTTGAACAAAATTTTGATTCAATCCTAACTGATAATACATTTCATAAATGTCAGGTTGTGCGAAAGATTTTGTTATTGTAAGCGATTGCAATGCACTCTGCAAGTCGGCCTACTCAAGGGGATTCCCCCAACTAACATTACAGACTAAAAACATGGCACACTCTAGGCCTATGTTATTTATTTGTTTTTATGGCATGACCCACTGGTTTTGTTTTCCAGATGGATGTTTACTTACTTCCTTTTTTGGCTTTTTGTCATCAGCTAGCCTAGTATTGCATACACAATTAATGATGGCTGATCCATTCTCATCAAAATATGATAAATACACATTAGATGACAAGCAGAAACTGGCAGAGCTGTGTGCTATATATAAAGCACAATATCAAGATGCTGTTTTATCTTCATCAACACACTGGGGCCAACAGTGAAAAAAGCATGTAAAACAAAAACCCATAGAAGGATTCCTATCTAAGGCAGAAATGTTTCCTTCCTTGAAAGACTTAAGTTGATGAAAAGTTTGGGAGAGCTTTACAAATGACAAGAAGAAGTTACAAGAATCTATAATGAAAATCCAACAAAAGATTTGCTCTCTTCCAAAATGACAAGTTTGAAATATTTGTGGACCTCTTGAAGAACATTTACAAACCCCATCATTTCTTTCTGACTAACTTTAAGAAGGAGCTCATAATCATAAATGGAGAACAAATGCCCCTGCATAGGAATGAGTCTTCAAATAAAAAAACACTAACACTCAGTGGTCACCCAACATACATCAAAGAGAACTAAATGCTCTCCCGTGAGCCATATACGATCTTCACACAGGTATCTAATGAACCATTAAACAAAGGAATGAGCACTCGAACCAAGTTGAACCCCCCAGCATATTACTGATATACAGTGGGCTCCAAAGGGTTCATACAGGCTTGAAACAATGCTTAAAACCATCAGCCACCTAAAGAATAGGTTCAATATGTTCTTGCAAAAAGACTCTGCCATCTACATCTTGGATGACTACTTTGTCCACTGCACAGAAGAAGTCAGAAAGAAACTCCTTGAAAGTGGATACCTCCTCGTTGTCATTGATGGAGGAATTATTGGGAATGTTCAAGTGAATGACACTCATGTTCACCATCATTTGAAGGCAAAGTACAGAGAGTTGGAAAATGTACTGATGTTGAAGCAACTAAAAAAACAACCAAACAGAGTCCCATCACCAACCAGAGATGACATGTTTAAAACTCTGGTCGCAAGCTGGGAAAGCCTGACTCGTGACACCACCACTGCCCTGAAGAACAACTTCATTCCAATGCCTTTGATGGAACAGAAGATTTTCTGATCTCTGATAAGCTGTACTCTTTGGTGGGGAAACAGATTATAAGGAACTTCTGAAGTTAAAGCAACCTATGAGCGTGACGGAATTAGTGAAGACTATAACTCTGCCTAAAGGTGTTGTAAGTAAACGATAGAGTGAAGAAAGTCCTGATGATGAAGAGCAGGAGCTGATAGACTGCAAAAATGATAAAATTGAAGCAACTGTTGAAGATGAAGAACTGTCAGACAAAGAGGAAGATGGCATGGAGAAGTATCAATAAAATAATTCCTTCTGATGACAACATCTGCAAACTCCTAGCAGCAGGTCCTTTTTCTGAAAGCCAACAAATGGAAGAAAGCAGTCCAGAGCCAGAAGAGGAGAAAGAGGCTGTTTGTGAAGGAAACACTGCAAACAACCATAATTTGACCACATGACCCTTTGTCCTTATGAAGACAGGAGACCATGTTCTATCAGCCTGCATCATCAGTCAATTTTTCCACCTTGCACTATCATTAAATTATTGATATTTTTCAATCCTGCACTATTATTTGGAACACAAGAGAAGTACCCATTTTTTTGAAAACATCAGTTTGTCATATTCTATAAACTTTTGTGTTTTGTGTGTTTGTTTTATACACTGTATGTATTTCAGTTAAACTTAATCTCCTCTGTACCATGCTTACATTTGATTGAAACCACATGTTACAAGACTAAGTATTCTGAAGTGAGCAGCTATCTTTGTGCCTTTCAATTTTATGATTTATCATGGCATTTTCTTAGTTTACTAACCTGTGATGGGGTTAATACAATTCCTTCTCCATGATGTCCATTTGCTGGTGGAGGTTGACTGTATGGATTTCCTTGTGGTAATCCTTCTTGCCTAAACATTGGAAGTTCAAAGGAATTTAAATTGAACACTAAATCAGTAATAGGTATCCATTTTGTGTGCATGTAAACAAATTTACATACAATGCATAAAACTAGAAATAAAGTTCTAAACAGATTTTTAGATCCTGTATACCTAGGTATATTCTTGAGTAAAACTTATTCTAAAAGGAATTATCAAATGCATAACATATATACAAACTAAAATGTGCTATATTAATGAGATAAAACAATATTAAAAGTCTGATATCACATGAAAAGTGCAAATCTATATTTAACTTACCTTTTTAATTTCCAACATATTTACTACAGCATTTTTATAGAAAATTTCACTATATTCTGTATACGCAATGTTTAATGAACACATACATATATATATATTCTTAGACACTTTCACACTTGGTCTAAGTGAGCCTTCTTTATGTAAACACATATGTGTAAGTGTCTTGTGTTTAGGAAAATATTATGCAGTGAAATTCATATTTTAATAATATTTACATAACAAACAGTTCATTTTGGACTCTAATCAAGATATATATTATCATGCCTTATATACTGTTCTTAATGTTTACTTACAATTTCACAGGTCAATCCTTTAAATACACACACACACACACACACACACATATGTGTGTGTGTTAATGATATAGAAGGAACCTCTCTAAATTTGTTTGAGAAGTCACAAAAGTGACCCAGAGTTACTTGTTTAACCAATGATAAAGATTTTTTATTCATAGTTTTGTTATGTACTTGACTATATGGTATTGAGTGATGCTTCTGTATACTTCCAAACATTGTTTTTAGTCTGGTAATGATTTTGCTACCAATCATGAAATAACTATGGTTAGATAATTGGAAAAAAATTAAGTATAAAAAAAACACCACTTGACATACAATGACAACTAAATTTCCAAAAAAGCTTCTGAAAATTCAAATCAAGCACAGCAGTAAGTTCATGTGTTAGAAATCAGAAAACAAAGCAGTATAGAAGAGAGAAGATATTTGGAAAGATAAGCTGTTATATTGTTATAAATTTTTGAATATTATTTCATATTAATTAAATCATTTGTTGAGATTTGGGTTGAATAAAAAAAAGATTAACTAGACTTAGTAAGATTAGTAAATAAAAATAACAGGGTTAAAATTTTAAATAAGAACTTAGTGGTAAAATCTGTACTACAATGTTAGATTAGGCTTAGGACGTGTAATTGTACTTTCAGGCTTAGCTGTAAAAGTGTAATTCATCTTACTGGTGAATTGTAAAACAGGTTAAATACATTGTTTTATTAAACAAATACCATCTAAACTCAGACTAAAGACTACATAGTTGTCTCTTCATATTTTAAGGATTATATTGTTTACTTGGGTTTAGTTTAGATCCATTAGTTTAAATTCAGTTTATAGGTGGGTTATAAATATCAAAGACAAGTTAAGACAAGTGTTGGACTCGGGCGTTCACAGGTTGTTAAGGTCATGGGTGCAATGAGTGGGTTGTATATGGGAACTCTGGACTGGTATGTACTTTAAAAGAAGCTAGTAGTGAATTTGTGCAATTTGTATGTAGAGTTTGTAGGTTAAAGGAGAAAGTAGAGGCTATCCTAATTAAAGGGCTCTATGCTGAGTCTTCTGCTGTTTGAGATTTATATTGTTGCGTCTCTGGTCGTTTGTTAATTTCCCGTAAAAATTCTTCACGAGGAACTTCAGCGATACAAGTCCTTTCTTAAATAAAACTAGTTTATTCTTTCTCAATACAACTTTGCAATACACTTAATTTCCACCATTATTTTAACTTTCACACACGCTATAATTCACAACGATTCACGCACTTTACTTATGGTCACTACCACTCACCTGACTCGATTATCTGTCTCTATATCTCCCTATCTGCAATCATCTATGCTGTCACTTCTCCCCCGCTTTATTTGCCGGGCTTATATATACCAAAATAGAGGGCGCGTAGAAAAGACTAGAGTTGCCAGGAAGAGACATGATCCTTCTAGAATCTCATGACGTTTTACTAGCGTCACTGTCGTAATACACCCCTTCCTTAGTATTGTTCATCCCGAACAATAGCCACTTACATTAAACCAATAGATAATTAACAATAACTTGATTAAATGTACAGAATTTACAAACACAAAATTTAAAATACAACAAAGTCTCTTAATTTTACAGGACATATCTTCTTCCATACTGGTCTCTGTCTCATTGGCTTCTGCTTGACGTGGGGTTCATCTGCTCCATCAGGAAATGTTCCATTATCGGTAACAGTCACATCAGTGGCAGTAACTTCATTAACGGCTTCACCATTTCCCTTCTCTAAACCGGATAGTTTCTTCGACAGTGGCTTTTTCAGCTAACACATCTTCAGCAGCATCATTTGTTCCATTGTTCCAACTGAAATGTCCTGGACCGTGATAATGCCAAAGCCTGTTGGCATGCACCACCTTTGGCTTACCTCGCAGACCACATTTTATTCGGAAAGT